AGTCAATTGCGGTTTGCCGTCCGTTTGAGTTAGTGGCGTTTGATCTTATGGGACCTTTTCCACGGTCGACTGCTGGCAATGAGTATGTTATTATTGCTTCTGACTACTTGACTCGTTGGGTGGAAGTTGGTGCTCTTGCTAGCGCCTCTGCAACTGCTGTTGGCTACTTCCTCCTCAATCGAGTGGTGTTCCAGCATTCTTGTCCAGAGTGGATTCTTTCAGATTATGGTCCCGCATTTATGGCTGAGGCATTTCATGTTTTGACGTCTCAGTTAAGGATATGCCACACTTTCATGAGTGCTTATCATCCACAATCAGACGGTCTGGTGGAACGGTTCGTCCGGACATTCAAAGGGATGATTGCGAAGTATGTGAACTTTCAACATTCGGATTGGGATGGTTATTTGCCGTCACTTCGGTATGCATATGTTACAGGGGTGCAGAGTTCTGTTGGTGCTTCACCATATAAACTCCTATATGGTCATGATCTAATATTACCAACGGAACTGGGTTTACCTTCGCGATTGCCACGAGCTGCTGATGCTAGATCATGGGATCAGTATTTGACGAGCATTCTTCCACTTGTCCGAGCAGAGTCTGCCGAACATTTAGGCCGCGTACAAGCGGGACAACAACGGTGCTACAACTCCTATCATCGTCCACCTGCAGAGTACAAAGTGGATGATTTGGTGTTAATCCGTTTTCCCCATCTTACGGTACGTGGTTTATCTAAGGGGCTTCTTGCGCAATGGAAAGGATTGTATAGGGTGTTGCGGCAAGTTGGACCACAAGTTTATGAGGTTCGATATGATGTTCAACAGGCCGAACCTCCAGATATTGTGCATGTGCAACGGCTGAAACGCTTCGTACAAAGGGATCAGGAGGAGTTAATACCACCTACAGATCCACTAATGCCTCCTCCTAACGTTCCTCCGGATCCTGGCCCATCTTTAAAAGAACCTTGATGGTCTTCCATTATCCCGAGAGGAAGGGATGATGTGAGTGCCAAGTGTACGGTTATGATGCTGTATACTAATATTAGCGTAGTGGGATTTTGGTAGCCGTCGGATTGGTTTCAATCTGGACCACTCGCTCCTGTATATAAGCTAGGGTTTTTGGGCTAATTAATATGCACATTTCTGTATTCCCTTTCCATATTCCATGCATTTATATATATATAAGTTTATATTTCTCATAAAGGGAGTCTTAAATACATTTTTTTATCATTATATTTAATTTAGGGTTTAGGGTTTCCATCCATTCAAAAAGATGATGTCACTAACTTGAGTGATAGGTAAGTAAATAATTAAAACTGAAATGCTTATAATCTTTTTTTTCTTCATCATAGATATGATCAAAAGTACACAAGCATGCACTTACAAAAAAAATGTGTTTAATTTCGGACTTGTTCTTTTCTATATTTTTTCTTGATCTTGTACTTTTGTATCCAATTGTTTATTGGGATTTGGGAGAAATCTAAACTAAAAGGGAGAGGGTTTCTAGTAGCACAATGACAAAGAGAAGAGGGAAAAGTTTAACCATTTTAATTATGCATAACTACACTCAACTTAAATCAAATTTATCAATTTATTTTTGTGTCCAACTTTGCTAATGATTAAAATGCTATTTATTAAATTTGGAGCAAAGCAAAGTGTAGATTTGTAAATATCATATTTATCTATAAGATGATTTTTCTTGGTTTTTATTCTTTTGGATGTAATATATAGTGCAACTTTAGGATGTATTGCTAGTCATAGGAAGTTTTGAGATCTTTGTTAATTTTCTTTGAGTTTTCCAAAAAAAAAAATTCTTTCCTTACAACATTCCCAGTTAGGTAGATTCCATTTACAAAATTCAAGAGTAATGCACAAAACCTCAAAATAATATTATTGTTTGTAGTGTCTTTTGATTTCTTGAGCTTTTACAAATATTTCTGTGAAATATAAAAGTGGAGATGATATTGCATATTGATCATCCAAAAGATCTTTTGTCTATCCAATATTCATACTCATGTCTCCATATAATATTTTATACTTCAGTAGGAATGTAATTCCTTTTCTTTGTAATATTTTCCTAATATATCACATTAACTTTAGTATTTTTGGACTTTCACTTCAATATATTTAACTCAAACTTAATCTTAAAGAAAATCTATGTTTTTAGTACTAGAAAATATAATTTATTTAGCTCCATGTTTTATTTATATACATATTTATCCACAATATTTACTTATCCAAGTTTTCTATAATTAATCATATATATAATATTTTCATAATTAAATTTTAATATGCTATAGATATGGAATAAATAATGTCACTACTGAATGTTTTTACTTCTTCTTGGTTTTGTGATGCATTTATTTCATCTAGAAGAACTATATAAAAATCATTTTCTATTAATGTAATGCATTAAAAATGTCATAATAATATATTTTAATTCTAAATTATATAACAATTGAATATAACATCAACTTGACATTATTTCCCCTTAACTTAATGGTTATCGTTTAAAGTATAAAAATAAGATTTTCTTGGAATTACCTAAGCTAAGTAATGACTAAGCAATTGTATTAAAAGATTTATTACATTCAGTTAAGTGCAATATAGATACTTCTTTTTTAACATATTTAGCTTTGATTTTTATTGAAATCACTACACTTAATTTTGAAGTATTGTAAAGTTAATATGTAGTAATAAATATATACCATATAAGATATTTTCAAAGTTAAATACTGTTTAAGATGTTTTTTACCACATCATAAATAATAATAATTAATATTAATTACATACTGAATATTAGGAAAAGTAAAATATTTTCTAAATATATCTTTATAAATATTTATTTGTATTTAGTGTTACCCTCATAAGTGACTGAATGATGACATTAGCATAATTGGTGTTGTTAATATTGTTTAGACTGATTTTTCTTGATTAAATGATAAAGACTTCTCAACAATATAGAAGTTATAAATAAGATTATCAAAATCGATAAAGATCACTTTAAGTTAGATAAAAATTTAGTAACTAAACAAATAAAAGTTTCTTTCAATTTTAATCTGTTAATGGTTTTTTCATTACTCTTTTATGAAGTTATTTTTCTTAAATGTTCTCAATTTTAATTATGAGTTAAAGTTACATTTTAAATTTTGTTCAAGAGAATTTTTGATTTTTCTTGTAAAAAATTAAAATATTTAAATTTCATACAATGGTATAAAATATTTAACTTGTTAAAATTTCTATTAAATTTTCTATAACTATAATTAATTGTTATATAGTAATTTCTAATTCCAGAAAAATTATTAAATTTTTATTTATTTTAAAATATTAAATAATTATATAGATATTATGTGATCTTTGATTGGCTGGAAGAAATCTTTTGCTCAAAATAAACAATAAGGCTTTTCAGTTATGGAACAGGAGATTAAAAAACTCTAAGTGGGTTGAAGATGTTTGGCATGGGCATCATTTTTTTTTTTCTTTTAGTGTTTGAGCAAATCTATCCATTTTACGATAAAAATGGGAATACCATGAAGTTTTTCTTTTACATATTTGATGTATATGATCATACCATAAGCGCTTTGCATTTTCTTAATTAATAACATCATTTGTTGAGCCATGAGAGGTATTTGGATTTGTTTAGAAAGTAAACGGAATTTTTGAAAGAGATAAACATATTATATAGAGCTCTTTTATTTTTGATATTCTCAAATGAAAAATTTAAATATAAAAATATTTTCAAAATATATTTTATATTTAAAGTTTTTTTTTCTCTCACTTAAATAAATAGTTTTTATATGGTTTTGTGCTTGTATAGAAATATATATCTTTTATTCTGTCAATGAAAACTCTAAAACCTTTTTATTAATTTTTTTAAGTTCTAGCATTTCCAATCAGTAGATTATGTAAGAAAAATATTATTAAGAAAAATAATAAGCTTAACTTAAATAATGTTTTTGCTAAGAATGAGCCAAAAATAATGTTGGAGAAAATTTAAATGATATTATACATAAAAAATCATAAAACTTTGGGTGCTAATAAATATATAAGAAAGGAAAAGCAAAGTATTAATGCTTTAATTTGGGAAAATATAATAACAAAAAAAATAGTAATCCAGTGAAATGATAAAATTATAAGCAACTCTAGTACATCTAAAAGGCAATAGCACCTAAATAACTTAATGAAAGTGTTGAAATAAATTATTAAAAAATATTAAAGTAAACTTTATTTATTAAAAAGTTAAATAATCAGTAGACGCAATCAATTTGGGAAAAACACGAACTAAATCCAAAAGAAAAAAACTCCTTTAAAAGTTATATTATATAATAAGTTGAATTTAATATTTAAGTTGGTATGGGATAAAAAAAAAATGATGGTATCCTCAAGCAAATAATTTTTTTGAATGTGAGAAATAAAATAATTATAATATATATATAATCAATATTGGTGGGATGGAAGATGCTCTAAACATTAATTTGACAATAGTGCGTTATTCGCAAACTAAATTTGACATTTTCTTAAAGGCAAAGTCACAACCCTTTTGGGTTTAGGGCTGACTAGGTCGGATAGGTCGTTCGAAATCCGAAAGATTTTGGCGCCGAGCAGGGTTTTCTCTCGAATGCCCATGAAGCAGCGGTGTGCGCGGCGGCGATCCTCGCCGGAGCAGTGGTGTTGTAGACGCGAGCGCGAATCCACGCAGTCGTGAGCGGCCGGGGGGAGATTTCGATGATGGATCCGCGATTCAAGAACGCATACGGTCAGCTAGATTACCAAGACGCGGGGCAGTCATCGGATCAAGATTTCTTCGCCGGCAGCTATGGCGGCGGGATGCAAATGGGGGGAATGCCGCCGCGAGGAGGAGGAGGTATGGGCGGCATGCCAGGCATGGGAGGGATGCAAAATATCCATGGAATGCAAGGAATGGGAGGAATGGGCGGCATGGGAGGAATGAGAGGGAGTCTTGGCAGCGGCCCTGGCGGCGGCGGTGTTATGGGAGGGCCGATGATGGCGCCTTCTTCGATTCCTTCTTCTTCCTCGGCGGCACCGGCGGCTTCGAGGCCTGGCGGCACTCATCCCCAAAATACTCACGAGCATTTGCACGTCCAGCATATGGTGGAGGGAGCGCTCAAGATGGTCTCCATGCTCAACTTCATGAAGGTAATGAATGGGTCTCTCCTCTTCTAGGGTCCTGTGATCGATGGGTGTGTGCGTGATTTAGGTGGAGCTTGGCGATCACAAGACACTGCGATCCAAGGAGCAATGGCGAGCAGCCGGTGCCGAGTTCCTTGGGACTTTACTCTTCGTCTACCTTGGCTGTGGCTCAGTCGTTGCTTCAGGTATCTAAATTCTTCCATATCTAGGAGCTCTGGCTCCATTCTAGACTCTTTTGTCTTTTGGTTTTCCTTGTTGAGGTGCTGATTTTTGCTTTACGTGGAGAAATACATTGCAGGAATGCTTGGTCCGGGAATGACCGCTGCACGGCTGGTAGCCATAGCTTTGGGACACGGTCTTGCGATTGCTTTTCTAGCCGGTGCCACGGGAGCTATATCAGGTGGTCACTTAAATCCAGCAGTGACTTTGGCGTTCGTGGTTGCTGGCAAAGAAACACTTCTTCGAGCCGGATTATATGTTGGTGCTCAGGTGTGCATGATCTATACGGCTTTGCTTCTCCATCTAAAGTGGTGTTTCTATACAGCTGTTTGGAGCGATAATGGGAGCAGCAATCCTGAGATGGTCCACGCCGGGGCCTTGGGTCGGCGCTCTCGGAGCTCATGATCTCTCCAACGGTGTTTATCCGGGCCAAGGATTTATCATGGAGTTCATGCTAACTTTTGTGCTTGTCTTTGTCATTTTTGGAGTGGCTGTGGATCGACGAGGACCTGGTATTCACTTGACATTGTGCATGTTTGATTATTCTTACCAAGGTTTAGTTTCACGCAGGTGTGATTGCTCCTTTGCCGATTGGTTTTGCTGTTCTAGTGGATCACCTGGTTGGAGTTCCATTCACGGGTGCATCAATGAACCCCGCCAGAAGTTTTGGACCAGCTGTGGTTTCGGGTGCATGGTCGGCTTCGTTTTGGATTTATTGGTTTGGACCTTGCTTTGGAGCAGCAGCTGCATCTGCTCTTTACAAGTAAGCTCTTCAATCATTTTCTTCTAAAGGTTGAAAGTTTTTTGTTCGCAGGGAAGTGTTTTTGGAACATGTACAAGTTTTGCCTGGTGGAGCACCAGCAGCATCTCCACCACCGAATCCGTTTGGTGTGTAGACTACACAAAGTATGTGAATATCCTAGTACTAGCGTTCAACCTTGTAAAGAGCACACGTAATCGAGGTAAGATTTCTGGGACCTGGAAACCATTCTTTTTACTTGCACGGTAGGGCTGTACAAAACGCAATGGATGCTACGTTGAGAGGGGCTCCGAGCAGCATTTTCTATCCTCGGGTAATGAATTTGGGTTCAAGGATTCATCAGGCGTGGGTAGTTTCCAAGCCAGCCTCAAGGAGTCGAGCTAGACTTCGTTCGGATTCAGCCCCCGATGTGGACGCTCAAGCCGAGGCCGAGCGCAAGAGACTGGATTCTGAGGCACGAGAGGCCATGAAAGTCGTGGCTGAACAGAGCCAGGCTGACGACAGGCCTGGCGCATGGAAATGGCAGATAAGGAAGCGGGTGTGGGATTTGCTGGAAGCCGAAGACATTGCAAAGATGCCAAGACCAGTTCATCACAGGATTCCAAATTTTCAAGGGGCTGAGCTTGCGGCAGACAAGGTAAAAGTCTTTATCTTTTCTTTTTTGTATTTCGGATTGCCGACTTTTTCTACTTTCCCATTTCTAAATCAGCTGCGGAAGATGCCAGTCTTTGAAGATGCGAAGTGTGTCAAGGTGAATCCGGACACACCGCAAAAACCAGTGCGATACATGACCCTGAGAGGTATGATTGATGACTTTCGCCTTATGTATACTCAAAATCGTAATCTATCTCTGACAGGCATGAAAAAGTTGCTCGTACCGCAACCACGCCTTAGAACTGGTTTCTTCTCCATGCTGGATCCAGCAAGTATGAACGATAGAGACATGAGGGAGGCTGTCACACAAACAGGTAGCCCGCTCAATATAAATATGCACTTGCGCGCTACTCAACTGTGTGTAGGCTTTCGGAAGTTTGGGAAGCCGTTGGGGCTTGATGCGAAGCTCAAAGTGGATCTCATTGTGATCGGCTCCGTTGCTGTGGATCCAAAAACTGGTGCTCGTCTTGGTAAAGGCGAGGTATGTCTCCAATGTTTTTTTGACTAACGCATATCAACGTTTCTTGTCTTGTCTTGTAAGGGATTCGCGGAGTTGGAATATGGGATGCTCCGGTTTATGGGAGCGATAGACGATTCAACTTTGATTGTTACCACAGGTAGATGCATCAATATCCTGCTGTCAATCTTTTCTCACTGTTTCTAGCAGTGCATGACAAGCAACTCGTTGACGAGATTCAATCGGACAAGCTGCTTATACACGACGTCCCAGTGGATGTAATTTGCACCCCTACGCAAGTTATATTTACAAACACAACCATTCCAAAGCCTACAGGTGAGAAAGTTTGGCGCATGTTAAAAGATCGATGCAGTTTGTCTGCTGTGTGTAGGAATCTACTGGGACAGACTATCCCCTGAGAAGCTTAATCAGATCAGAATCCTCCAGCAGCTTAAGAGACAGATCGAGAACGAAACGGGGGTGGCACTGACGCTGGGTCCTTCCGAAAGATTGCCGCCGACGGCCCAAAGAGTGAATCAACGGACCTCGGGCAGATAAGTGAATCAACTAGGAGCTCTGAGGATACCGACGCACGAGAGGTCAAGGCCTCGAGCGGGTCTGACGATGACTTTGTCTCGTTGCAATAGGCTTTAATACTTGAGCAGTGCTGCCTTGCTACTCGTGTTGCAAGATCCCAACAATGCTTTCCAGGTTAGATTTACTAATTTCTTCTCCTCTTATGCTTTCTAACATAATAGCATTTCCAGGATCCAAGGGAAAGTGGCACTCATCACCGGTGGTGCTTCCGGTATCGGCGCAGCCACGGTCAAGAAATTCAGAGCTCATGGAGCGGAAGTTATCATTGCCGACGTCCAAGACAGCCGCGGCAAGGCGCTGGCGGCCGAGACGGGCGCTCACTACACACACTGCGACGTCTCTCAAGAGTCTCAGGTGGCAGCAGCAGTGGACCTGGCCGTCTCAAAGTTTGGCTCGCTCGGCATCATGTTCAACAACGCCGGGATCATCTCGGGCCCCAAGCCGGCCGACTCCATCGCCCGTCTCGACATGTCCGACCTCGACGCCGTGCTCGCTGTCAACGTGAGAGGCGTCGCTCACGGAGTGAAGCACGCGGCCAGAGTCATGGTCCCTCGCAACTCGGGCTCGATCATCTCCACGGCCAGCGTCGCTCACATCATCTCCGGCAGCGCGCTCCACCCCTACACCATCAGCAAGCACGCCGTGGTTGGCATCACAAAGTCGGCGGCCTCGGAGCTGGCCTTTCACGGGGTCCGAGTGAACTGCATCTCTCCGGCCGGGGTGGTGACCGAAATCGTGACGAAGTTTTGGGAGAACTTGGTGCCGGTTGCGGAGGCCAAGCTTGGCACGCAAGCGGCGTTTGCAGGGAAGCCCGGGTTTGATCTCCGGCGGGCCTTGATGGAGCCGGAGGAGATCGCAGAGGCCGCGCTCTTCCTCGCCAGCGATGAGTCGAGGTTTGTGAGCGGCCATGACTTGGTGGTGGACGGCTCGCTCACAGGGACTGCCGCGTTTAACATCTTCAAGGATATCCAGCATGGGCAGCTGCGTCTGGTAACGAAGAACTAGAGTGAGCTCTAAAACAATTCGACTATTCCAAGAATAGAATATTCTAATGAATGTTCGAGAATATGCCTGCTTAAACAGAATATGCCCTGGGTCCAGCGAATATGCCTTGTGTTTTAGGGCAAGTGTGGATTTTTGCCGTTGCGAGGGCGCGCCCCGCGAATGCGAGGGTGATTCTCGAGCTTGGGTCGATGATTTGATCGCGCTACCGGTCTCGAGGTACGTAGGATTTGATTCTTAGCTTGATTGGGAGAGCATCATCGCGCATCGCGCATTCTTCTTCTTTTTTTCGCCCCCCTCTCGCCGAAAGGAGCTTTCGTTTTTGTATGCTCTCTCGTGGCAGCGCATGTGTGTGTCCAGTGACGTCCTCTTCGAGCAAAGCTTTTTTGTTTTCTTTTCTGGTTTTTTGTCGGAGCTGAGAGACTCCACTTCCTTTCTTCTCTATCGCGAAGCTAGCTTAGCGAGGAAAGTTCTCTCGCTCTTTCGATTCTTTTGTTTTTATGTTTTTTTTCGTTTTTGCTGCCCAAGTGCGGTCTCTACTAGATAGAGTCTGATTTGATCTAGATCGGTGTGGGTCACTTTCGTACGCCAAGGACGAAATTTAAGATTCTTGAGCTGCATGGAGCTGGACTTCTTTTTTGCTTTGTGGGATTTCACTTGAGCAGCGAATCAGAGTTTACGTGGTGAAACTCACCTCCCAATGTTCGTGCAGGAGCATTTCACACATTTAGCACTTGGTGGTGAAGGAATGAGTATGATTCAAGCGGACAAGCTGCTTATACACGACGTCCCAGTGGACGTAATTTGCACCCCTACGCAAGTTATATTTACAGACACAACCATTCCAAAGCCTACAGGTGAGAAAGTTTGGCGCATGTTGAAAGATCGATGCAGTTTGTCTGTTGTGTGTAGGAATCTACTGGGACAGACTATCCCCCGAGAAGCTTAATCAGATCAGAATCCTCCAGCAGCTTAAGAGACAGATCGAGAACGAAACGGGGGTGGCACTGACGCTGGGTCCTTCCGAAAGATTGCCGCCGACGGCCCAAAGAGTGAATCAACGGACCTCGGGCAGATAAGTGAATCAACTAAGAGCTCTGAGGATACCGACGCACGAGAGGTCCAGGCCTCGAGCGGTCTGACTTTGACTTTGTCTCGTTGCAACAGGCTTGAATACTTGAGCAGTGCTGCCTTGCTACTCGTGTTGCAAGATCCCACAATGCTTTCCAGGTTACATTTACTAGTTTCTTCTCCTCTTATGCTTTCTAACGTAATAGCATTTCCAGGATCCAAGGGAAAGTGGCACTCGTCACCGGTGGTGCTTCGGGTATCGGCGCAGCCACGGTCAAGAAATTCAGAGCTCATGGAGCGGAAGTTATCATTGCCGACGTCCAAGACAGCCGCGGCGAGGCGCTGGCCGCCGAGACGGGCGCTCACTACACACACTGCGACGTCTCTCAGGAGTCTCAGGTGGCAGCAGCAGTGGACCTGGCCGTCTCAAAGTTTGGCTCGCTCGGCATCATGTTCAACAACGCCGGGATCATCTCGGGCCCCAAGCCGGCCGACTCCATCGCCCGTCTCGACATGTCCGACCTCGACGCCGTGCTCGCTGTCAACGTGAGAGGCGTCGCTCACGGAGTGAAGCACGCGGCCAGAGTCATGGTCCCTCGCAACTCGGGCTCGATCATCACCACGGCCAGCATCGCTCACATCATCTCTGGCAGCGCGCTCCACCCCTACACCATCAGCAAGCACGCCGTGGTTGGCATCACAAAGTTGGCGGCCTCGGAGCTGGCCTTTCACGGGGTCCGAGTGAACTGCATCTCTCCGGCCGGGGTGGTGACCGAAATCTCGACGAAGTTTTGGGAGAACTTGGTCCCGGTTGCGGAGGCCAAGCTTGAGATGCAAGCGGCGTTTTCAGGGAAGCCCGGGTTTGATCTCCGGGCCTTGATGGAGCCGGAGGAGATCGCAGAGGCCGCGCTCTTCCTCGCCAGCGATGAGTCGAGGTTTGTGAGCGGCCATGACTTGGTGGTGGACGGCTCGCTCGCAGGGACTGCCGCGTTTAACATCTTCAAGGATATCCAGCATGGGCAGCTCCGTCTGGTAACGAAGAACTAAATAAGGTCAAAGTTTTGATAAACTTAATAGAATAATTCCTCAACCCAAGGATGAAATATTCTAATGAATGTTCGAGAATATGCCTGCTTAAACGGAATATGCCTGGGTCCAGCGAATATGCCTTGTGTTTTAGGGCAAGTGTGGATTTTTGCCGTTGCGAGGGCGCGCCCCGCGAATGCGAGGGTGATTCTCGAGCTTGGTTCGATGATTTGATCGCGCTACCGGTCTCGAGGTACGTAGGATTTTATTCTTAGCTTGATTGGGAGAGCATCATCGCGCATCGCGCATTCTTCTTCTTTTCTTCGCCCTCCTCTCGCCGAAAGGCGCATTATGGAGCTTTCGTTTTTGTATGCTCTCTCGTGGCAGCGCATGTGTGTGTCCAGTGACATCCTCTTTGAGCAAAGCTTTTTTGTTTTCTTTTCTGGTTTTTTGTCGGAGCTGAGAGACTCCACTTCCTTTCTTTTCTATCGCGAAGCTAGCTTAGCGAGGAAAGTTCTTTCCGTCCATGATAAGTTCTCTCGCTCTCTCGATTCTTTTGTTTTTATGTTTTTTTTCGTTTTTGCTGCCCAAGTGCGGTCTCTACTAGATAGAGTCTGATTTGATCTAGATCGGTGTGGGTCACTTTCGTACGCCAAGGACGAAATTTAAGATTCATGGAGCTGGACTTTTTTTTTGCTTTGTGGGATTTCACTTGAGCAGCGAATCATAGTTTACGTGGTGAAACTCACCTCCCAATGTTGGTGCAGGAGCATTTCACACATTTAGCACTTGGTGGTGAAGGAATGAGTATGTTCTAGGAGCAACTATGACGGGTCAGTGTTTTGCGGCTTCATTCATCACCATTGCGGGGTTGCAGGCTTTTGTTCAGGCTTTTGTTCGGGCTGCAGTTTTTATGCCTCAATCATTCTCAGTCGTGTAGAAGGAGAGAGCGAGACTTTTAAAAGGGCAGCCAACTCTTCTACAGTAGGTGCGGAACGAGGTGACATATTGCGAATCCTGTACTCGGGCGTGGCAGTGGGGGTCCCCCCTGCACAAAAAGAAGGCCGAAATAAAAAAGGAAAGGAAAGCAGGCTACAGTGCTTCGATCATGATCGACACGGCTATTACAGATTCCCTGTGATTGCTGCGGCTGGAGCTTATTCTCGGATTGGAAGCTTGCTCCAAAGAGGCAGAGCGGAAGAGAATCAGATTCGGAGATGGCTCGGTCATACTTGTGACAACCGTTAACTCTGGTACTTTTGGCCCCGAGGCTTGCCCTCTTTTGGAAGCGGTCAAGGCATGGAGCTCTGATCAAAGTGGAGCTACTGTTACAGGTCTTTTAGCGCTTGGAGGAAGTAATGGGGTCGGAGGGAGTTCCCGTCACCAGAATTCACGTCACTGGATTCAAGAAGTTCCATGGAGTGGCCAAGAATCCAACCGAAGTTATAGTCGGCAGGCTGTCGAGCTACTTCAAGGATGGCGGCCTCCCGCAGGGATTCACTCTGGAGAGCGCTACGGTCCTGGAGACGGCAGGAGAGGGTGCTCTCCCGACTCTTATGGATCTGCTGGATGCTGCGATATCGCCACCGTCGTCCTCGGCTCACAGAAAGCTCGGGAGTTTCATCGAGCAGCCAGATCCATCGTCTGGTCGAGTCCTCTGGGTACGTTCTCTCAGTTCTCTCTTTTCTTTGTTTTTACTATGTGTGGCCTTTGTATTTATCCAAGCGGTGTATGCTGATAGTTTTGTTCTTTTACCTTTCGTGAAGATACACTTTGGCGTGAACAGTGGAGCTTCGAGATTTGCGATTGAGCGCCGCGCCGTCAACGAAGCTACATTCCGTTGCCCGGATGAAATGGGATGGCAGCCGCAGGTTCTATTCTTTTCGCTTGTTCTTTCGTCCATACAAAACTTGAGCGCATACAAACTTTTGCTGGTTCCAGAGGGTCCAGATTGCGCCGGAGGACGGGCCTCTTTCGGCAACCCGCGAGGTACGAAGTTTAGATTGTTTCCGGTTTTTGCTCGCGTTTGCGTGACGATGTTTCCACTCCCGAAACTGTTCTTGGCACAGACGACGCTGCCAGCGGCCGAGATCGTCCGCTGCCTCGCGTCCAAAGGCTTCGAGGTGACGCTGTCGGACGACGCAGGGCGATTCGTGTGCAACTACGTTTACTACCAGTCGCTGCGGCACGCTCGCGCCAACGGGACTGTGTGTATATTTGTACATGTGCCATTGTTCTCTAGAATTGAAGAGGACGTCCAAATGCAGTTTGTGGCTTCGCTCATGGAGGTTTTGGCTCAAGAGCTCCAGTGATGACCATCTTCGATATATATCGTCTTATCTTCTACCAATCTCTCGATTATTTGTACTCTTTCCATCTTATCCTATCTCGGTGGCTCGATTTTATACGACTCCTAATGCTCTCAATAATATTGTTCCATTTCAATCGTGTTCCAAGAGCTAATCAATCTTGCTTCAATATTAATGATCTTAAGCATGTAATAATAACGATATTGTTCCAACATTTCAATTGTTCTTATGAAATTGGGACAATAGCAAAAAAAAATTCCTCACTGCTTAGCAAATAAGCACATCGCTGTCTCATGTGGGGACTGGACGGTGATGATGCTGCCATGTCAATCCACGGTGCTGACTTTGGACACGCATTCATGGCAGCGCACCAAACACCCTGTAGCGCGGTAGAATTCAAGCGAATGGTTGCGCGCCACGGTGGGGTTACGTAGCAGGATCTGGGCCGTGGGATTGTCCACGTCGGCGGCGGCCAAGTGACGTGGCGGAGCTGGGAGTTTGTCCTTGATCCGCGTCGCGTTGTTGTTAACATCAGCAGTGGGCGGATTTATGTCAGCGCGAGTGATGAATCAACACGCGAGCGAGTGCGTGTGCTCCTCTTTGCTAAATTCCGAGAGTTTGTTTCGGGGGCGCGTCTTTGATGATCCCGGCTGCTGCTTGATCGATAGGTTTCCACGAGAAAGAAGAAGCTGGGCTTGAAAAGAACCAAGTTTTTCTCCGGTGGGTCGCTCTCAAAGTTCTCCGCAGGGCCCGATTTGCGCTGGAGACTCCACTGTCCTTCGCATTTGTATAAAAAGTCACTCTTTTTCTACTGCGAGTGTAGTTTTTTCTTCGTTTAAAGCAGCTATGGCGCTCAAGTATGTGGGCTTCGTGGCGATCGTGGCTCTTGGATTTCTATGGGCACCACTTCTCGCTGGTATGATTTCGCTAGTCCTTTTTGTGTGCTCATGATCTTATGTGATTTGTAGATGGTGGAGCTTGTGACGATTACAATTGCATCCAAGGGGACTGTGTGGAAGTGAGTGGATTCCCACCTGTGAAGTGCGTGTGCAAGGATGGATGGTCCAATATCCTGGGAATGTCTGCGTTGAGCTGCGCCATCCCGAAGTGTAAGCAAGCGTTTTCACTCCCGGTTTTGGATTTCATCCAAGTTCTTCTCAGATTTGCTTCTTCTCTCTCGCAGGTGATTTCAATATGAGTTGTGCCAAGACTAACAAAGCAGATGATGCCTCACATGATAATTCACCGAGCTTCGACATCTTCAATCGTAAGAAAAAAAAAAACTCCTTTGTTCTTCGGTTTTGCTCACTTTTCATACTTTTTTCTTTTTTCCAGCTTGCTCGTACAAGGTATGCGGTGAAGGCGATTGCATCAAGCAAAACGGCAACAATAGTTATACATGCCGGTGCTACGAAGGCTACGGAAATCTCCTCAACTCACCGTCTGGAATTTGCGTTGCGGATTGTAAGTTTTCTATAGATGTCGTCCTTGAACAAAAAAAATTCGATTTTTCTTTTCGATTTAGGTAGCATTGGTGCTGATTGCAACCAGCTTGGAATAAACCTCGGCCCGAGTTCCTCACCTTCATCGCCAGGCAGCAACAGCTCCTCCACTTTGTCAGATACAAACGCTGGTGAGTTTTCTATTTCTCCAAACGGGAAAACAAAACCAATTTTTCCTCGTCATGCGCAGGATCACAACTGCAATTCCACGCCAAAAATCTCGTCTTTGGTGCACTGGCCCTGCTCCTGTGGAGCATATAGAGTATACCATTTTTTCCTCTTTGTATATTCTAGGTGCTATGTTATTAGAACACTTCGAGAAAAATATAGAGAATTCTCAAGGTGGTGGAGTGATAATCGTCGAGCCTCCAGAAGGTGACGGAGGAAACGATGAAGAAGAGCCAGTGGAGATTGGAACAGTGGGATTGTCGGGCTTGGACGGTGGCGATGGTGGCGGAGCGGCGGTGGTGGGAGGTGGCGGCGATCGAGGTGGTGGAGATGGAGGAGCTGCATGCGGGGACGAGCCGAATGGTGGAAGAGGCTTGAGATGCTCCACCGGGCCTGGCTGGACTGGAGACTGGAGCTTTGGCTTTGGATCGACTTGCTGATAGTCTTGCCTCTCGCTGCTATCGAATTCATCGTCCAGGAGCTCCTTGTCCTCCACAATCTGCGAATTTTCAAAAGCAAAATGAGGTCGAGTGAAAGATAATCAAGCAAAGCAGCAAATGGTTCTTCGCTACGCTCCTCTCGTCAACCGGGCATTTTCGTTGGATTTTCTCGTGAGAGTTTTTACTCTTTTCTTTATGTCAATGAGAATCAATGCTGGCACAAAAACACATGATCCAGGGAGTGGTTTCTCTCAAAGAGCAGTCGTCGTCAATGTTTTCAATCACTCTCTCTCTCTCTCGCTCGTGAAAATAAATGCACGCTGCGAGCAGCGAAATCAAGGCATGATCTTAACTAGGCATGGATCTTACAATCCTTGACAGCGAGACTCTTGATCGTTGTTTGCAAAAGGAGATCTTCTTGAGCTAGAACTCGAAGAATGATTGATGATCTAAGTCGAGAAACTCCGCGAGGAAAAGGAGAGGATCAAAGAGGATAGAGAACCTTACCTCTCCGGGTTTCTTCATCGATGCTACATTGCCGATGAGGAGACAAAGAAGAAGCAATGGAATCAATCGCTCCATCTGTTTGAGAATCCGGGCAAACAGTCCAAAAACGTGACAAACGAAATGGATGTCGAGCTTACCAGTCGAGGGGATCGCCCCTTTCTTTCTCTCCACGCAGAGATATCGCAAAAACCTATCAGCGTGCGAGCAATGCGTGTCTTCTTGGTTAACGGGGAGAGAACATTTGGTCGCCAAACTTAAAGCGAGGAGCCCTAAATTTTAAAAACGAAGATGCTCTGTTTTGGGACTCGATTCCAAAGACAAATTCGCGTGAAATGGATGGAATTGCTTCGACCGGGAGGAGAAAACGTTTGATTTTTCGCGAAACAACGCCAAATCAAAGCAATGATTGTCGGGAGGAAGAGCTGGAAACAGGGGAATCATCGTCTATGCTAGACCATCGCTTGCTCAAGCACTTCAAACAATCAATCAATCACAATAGCAAGAAGAGCACCTAAACCCCAAGAAACCGAGGAATTTTAGGATCTTGCTTGAGAGTTTGAAGTGGCAAGAATGTTTATCTGGCTGTTTATTCAATACGCTCCAAAATTCTATGGTCGCGGCTTCCAGGCCAATTTTACTTATTAGTCCTTCCAGCCGAGACTCGGAACAAAGGTCCTTGCCAGTAATTTACACGCTTTCGTTTTTCCTTCCTGTTTTTCTTTTCTAGAAATCCATCGATCTGGGGTCGTGATCCCACTTTACCAGGTTTCCACCCCAGCAGGAGCTTACCAATACTGGTTGCCATGGATGCCAGCTACAATCTCTCACGGGATGGTTGTGGAACGAGAGAGTCGCCGCTGTGTGCCCGGTCACCTAGAAAGAAAGAAAAATCAAACCTTTAGAGACGAAAAGAAGAAGAGCTTCTGCTCACCACATCGTAGATATGGACGGTGCCGTCGTAAGAGCCGGTGTAGATATACTTCTGGCCCGTGCTGGAAGAACAAGTCCAGGCATTGAGAAAGAACTTCTCACACTTTGTTTACCTGATGCGAGGAGAGAAGTAGCACCGGATCAATGTCTGGAGAACCTCGTGTCCCTTGTATGTCATGAGCGACTCATCGCCCGGATGCGCAACAGTGCGCAGGCGAGGAGGGACTCTCATGCATCTGTAATCCCACCGGATTCTCGGGACCTGCGCGCGTTCGAAACTTTTCCTGGCATCCAGCGAAAGCCGAGCTGCAAATACAGGAATGGAAAAAACTGTGTTTCACGTACTTGGATCCACCGGACATTGTGCGTATGTCCCAAAGCTTTATCGACTGGTCCTTGCTGTTGGAAATGAAATGCCGCCCGTCTCCTCGGCTGTCTATGGAAGTCACTCCCCCGAGATGGCCAACGAGCTCTCCGGCGGGTTTGTTGTTTGCTGAGAAGCATCTTCTATCCCATACCTGGAAACACAGAGTAAGTGGCTTCGAGTTTGAAGGAAAAAAATCACCTTGCAAAGGTAGTCATCACTTCCCGAATAGATAAGGTGGCTACTCTCATCCGCAAACGCAACCGTATTCACTTCGTCCTGTAGAAGCCGATCACTAATACTCGTTGCTTTCCAACTTTTCTTTCACTTACGTTGTGCGCCGAAACCCGATACGTTGTAGTCGCGGAGTTCAAGTCGTAGACGTAGATACAGTTGTCGTTACTGCCGGCCACGATCTCATTCCCATCCTGCGAGAATTTCAGTGACCAAATTCCAAAATCCCCGTCGTCATCGTATGAGCTGAGCGAAAGCCCTTCGTGGATATCCTGGTTAAGCAAACACCATGGTCACATATTGAAAACAAAGAAAGAATAAAAACTTACAGTCACGTTCGCCAGAGAATCTATTCCACCAGTTTCGTTTCCAAGATTCACAAGGAACACAACAGGAGTTATAGACGCATAGACCTGTAAGAGGACAGTGATAGAGTTCTAGTGAAGGAGTGAACAACACAGACCAGGAATCGTTGGTCCGGGGAGAGAGCCGTGTCAGTGATTGTCCAATTCATGTTACGAGCTTTCACTCTCTTGTGGATAGTCCAGTTGTTATCAGCATCATAGACCACAATTGTCCGGTCCTGGAAACAAGAAAACAATCACTGGCAGAAATCAAAACCGAGCTGCAATCCAAAAGAAACAAAAAAAAAGAACGAAAAAAGAGCCTCGCTTACCTGAAAGCCAGCAATGAAAAGCGATCCATCGTTGGAGAACTGGCTGATGTAAAGCCGACTGCTCTTTCGCTCCAGTATCTCGGGTCCCTTGTCCGGCAAAATCCTCGAAGAGACGTGACACGCCTCGGCACGAGAGAACTTCCCATTCTTCGAAGAGTTGATCTCTCTCCCCGCGAGCATGGACACCGTGTTGACTGTTCTACCATTTTTTGCTCGAGCTCGCTTCAAAGTCTCATCGCTGGCGGATGTGGCCATGTTTATCTCCTGGGAGAGCACGTTTTGCAAAGGCCCTTGACTTCTTGCCTGGGCCTCGGTCTCCTCCTCGTCATCGTTGCTCTCGTCCAGGAACCACCTCCGGCTCGCTCGAAGAAAGGCTCGAAATGCTCCAGGCCTTTCGTTCGCCATCACTCAATCTAAAAACGATATAATAGATCAATGGAAGCAGTAACGCGAAATCTATTCTACTATCTCTCAAACCAAGCAATCCGGATCATCTAGACGAAGCGCTCCAGCTGAGAATGTCTCAAAATCTACCTCAATCCTCGAGCAGAACCACGAAATCCTCGATCGACGCAAGAGATTACCTTCTTCTCCAGGCGCTGCATCAAATCCAATGCCGCTGCGGGAGAATGAACGAGCTTGCGCTCAAGAGCCCTAAATTGCGAAACAAAGACCTCCCTTTTACACCCTTAGCAGTAAAAACACTAATCTTACTTTACACCCTTGGAGGGAATTATCCCACGATACTCCATTGTGGCCAGCACCTCCACCTCCTTGTCTCTATTCCCAGCCTCGCCGTACATCCTCGCTAGAAGCACGTACGGACTGGGATTCCCGGGCTCTATCCTCATCAGCGCTTCCGCGGCTTGAGCTCCCAGCTCCAAGTTTTTGTGGATCCGGCAAGCTCCCAAAAAATTCGTCCAGATCTTCGCGTCGGCCTTGCAAGGCATGTTGTTGAGAAGAACTCGAGCTTGATCCATCTCTCCGGCTCGTCCCAGGACGTCGATCATAGAGCCATACTGCTCGGAAGTTAGCGTCACTCCACAGTCCTTTTCGACAAAGATGAAACACTCCCACGCTTCGTTTGCGAGGCCCGAGTGTCCGCAAGCCGAGAGGAGCGTCGAGAGCGTCATCCTGTTTGGTTTGACGCCCTCCATTCCCATGTATCTCAGCATCTTCACGGCCTCTTTGCCGCGGCCGGACTTGGAGTAAGCCGCGATCATCGACGTCCATGCCGCTACTCCTCGCTCGCGGAGAGTGTTAAAGACGCTTCTCGCCTCGTCCAGGCTCCCGCACTGGCCATACATGTTGACGAGCTCGTTGCCAGCGACGGGGTTGTGCTCGCCTCCGGCTGCCAGGAGCTGGGCTTGGATCTTCCTGCCTTCGCGGAGGGAGTTCTCCAGCGAGCAAGCGGCGAGCATGCTGACGAGAGTGATCTGGCTCGGTTTCACGCCTTCCAGCTCCATCTGCCGGAACAAAGACAGAGCTTTGCTCCCCTGTTCCTGCTCGATGTAGCCTCGTATCATCGATGTCCATGAGACGACGTCTTTGCTCTCCATTTCGTCAAAGAGGCCTCTTGCTCTCTCCAGCTGGTTGTGCTTCCCGTAGACTTTTACCAGAGCAGTGCAAAGTAGAGCGCTGGAATGCGTGTGGCCTTCGGCTACGACGCGTTCGTGGAGAGCTTCCAAAGTGGCGCTGGAGCAGGCGTCGAGGAGGCTCATGAACGTGACAGACGTCGGCTTCACTCCCTCGAGTTCCATCCGGCGGAACAGCGAGAATGCTTCCCTGCTACGACCGTCTTCCGAGGCTGCGGCTATCATAGTTGTCCAAGTAACAACATCCTTGTTCTTCGCGCTCTCGAAGATGCCTCTTGCCTCGTCGATGCAGTGGAACTTCAGGCACATCCTCAGGACAGCGTTGTAGAGGAAGTCGTCCACCTCAACCTCCCCAGACGTAAAAATCCGGTTTTGCATAGCTCGCGCGCTTACCTCGTCGTCGATGGCGTCCACCAAGCTCGTGAAAGTGATGTTGTTCGGCTTGACGCCTTCCAGATCCATCTCTTGCAGAGCCACCAGAGCTTCGTCAGAGTAGCCGTTTTGTACATACGCTGCGATCATGGCGCTCCACGAAACAACGTTCCTCTCGGGCATTTTTCCCAGCAGCTTTCGTGCGTAGGCAACAGCTCCCAGCCTGCCAAGCCTGCTGATAAGTGAGTTCTCAAAGCGTAGTGTATCTTTGAGCCCGCTCTCTCGCAGCTTCTTGTACACCTCCTTGGCCTTGGCAACGCTATCACACGTCCCAAGCAGGCTGATAAAAGTATTCACATCGGTTGCTTGCGAGAAACCATGGAAGCGATTAAATACCTCCACTGCGAGCTTGTGCTGGTCTTTGAGTGCATACGCTGCGATCATCTTGTTTACCGAAGTCGGCCCAATGCTCTGGAAGCTGTCGAAGATCTTCTTCGCTTCCTCAAGCTCCCCGCACCTTGAATACATATCAAACAGTGAGACCTTAAGATTGTGAACGTTGCAAAGTCCTACCTCTGCGATCATGCCGTGAACGTCACGACCGTACTCGAGCTCTCCAAGCTCCGCACAAACCCCGAGGATAGTCGTGAAGATAATCAAGCTCGGCTCCCAGCCCGCTCTCCACATACTGTCGAAACAACGCATCGCGTCACGCAGCTTCCCACACTTCGCAAAGGCCGTCACCATAGCCGAGTAGCTCGTCAGGTTCTTGCAAGGAATGGTCTCGAAGACACCAACAGCGGTGTCCAGCAGCCGAAACTTTCCATACATCTTGACGAGCGAGTTCGCCACCTCCACCAAGGAACCATAGCCCACCTCTTCGATCTGCGAGTGTATCATCCTTCCCTGCGGAACAGCGTCAAAGCTCCCACACACCGCCACCAGCGTCGTGAAAGTCCTCTCCTGGGGCCTCACACCGTGCTGGAGCATCCGGTAGTAGATCTCCAGCGCCTTCTTGCAATGCCCATTCACGGCATTTGCCGCGATGAGAAAGCTCCAAGTGTGGCCATTCTTCTCCTTCATCCGCCGGAAGACCCTGTTCGCCTCCCTCACGCTCTTGCACAGCCCATACATCTGGATGAGGAGATTGCCGAGGTAGACATCGTCCCCGCGGCCATGGCTGACGATGTGCTCGTGGATTCTCCTCCCATCTTCCAGCGCCGCGGGGCCGCAGCAGCGCTTGAGGAGGCACGCATAGGCGCCGGAGTCGACCATGTAATCCAGCTGCTTCACCGCGGCACCTAGATTCACGAAGTGATCGCTCTCGGGCGTCGCGCGGCGCTTGTAGAGGGGAAATTTCCTCTCGGGAAAGACTACATTCTGTGCTAGCTCCAGGGATTCGTCGCCGCCAGGAGGAGAGGATCGAGGGAGCCTGACCTGTTGCGCGGCAGTGGAGATCATCCGATGCCCTGCCGCTCCATGGCGACGGAATACCAGGACCGATCGAGAGCACATCCGTTTAAACCCTAGCAAAGAGCTAACGAACTTGACCGTTTACTATGACTTTTACTTGACAACGTTGACTATCATTGACTTCGAATTACTAGCGGCGAGGAGAGCTTCCTCCACAAAGCCGGGACCGGGCCCAGGTCGATCGATCGAAATAGAGATCGATTTCAAAACTCAAGGCCCGGAGACTTCGAGCTCCATCTGTAGCGACTTTGCGCTCTGAAAAAAAGATTTTAGGTGGGTCTCTGGCTGTGGATTCGAACCTGGAACCTTACCAACAATTTTCTTTATTCTAGCCAGATATCCAACAAGTTCCCAAAGCTTCTTAACGTATCTCTAATTTTGACATGAATCGCAGTCTCTCTCATTGGGCGGGCATGGCGCAGAACTGCCAATCCTTTTCACCTCGTTGTCCGTGAGAGGCTTCGTGATCCCCGTGCACGACCCTCCCGTGTTCCACGACCCCCCGATGTAGTGATCCGGCGAGAACGTCCGAAAAACCGTGAGTCCCTTGTAGCTCCGGCTGGCGGCGATGGCGCTCACGGACAGAGTAATTTCTGTAGAGAAGTTGCTCATCAAGGCACCTAATCTCTTGCGAAGTGTTCTTTGGAAGAGCTCCAAGTTTCCTAGCAATAACAAGGAAAAAGATTATGAGCATTTATTCACTTGCAAAACTCCACAGCACAGATCAGTACCCGAGATTCAGGCATTGGTGAGAAGTATCACATGAGAGTTTAGGAGTGTTTGTTAGCAAAGATGTTGCAGATTGGGGATCTTAAACAGCTGCTAGTGCCCAGTGATTGAGTACTTAACTTCAAAGCTGTGACGAAGATTAACCTTGACAAATGCAAAGAGTTTTTGTTAGAATGGATCAAAGATCATCTTGCTGAGAAATCCAGGCAAAATGCATGAAATCTCTAGATAATGCTTGTAGTCTGACAGGACAGTTGAAGAGCAATACTCAATTCCATGCAAAAGTTCTGCTAGCAAACACTCTCATGTCACCAGTGACAAAGTCAATCCCTCTCATTCTCTTTCCCATTCCAGAAACTCTCAAAAACTAAAAGTTTTAGTTGGGTCTCTGCCAATAATTTTTTTTATCTACTGAGGTAACTCAGATTTGAATCTAAGATCTTTCGTTTGTTTTTACTGTTATTATGATTTATGTATGGACGCACTCCGGATGATTTCTTGCTGCGTTTGGTCCGATCTTACAGCGATTCCAAGAATTTGGCAGAGGCACGCTCACATCGCTACAACAAGGCATCGAGACAACGATCAACTCATCCGCATGTATGGCAAATGCGGCAGCCCGGAGAATGGCCCGGAGAGCCCTCGCCAAGCCCAGGCATTGCGCGTGGAATGTGACCATCGCGGCGCTTGCCGAGAATGGGCGCCTCGAGGATGCGAGAAACCTGTTTGATCGACTCAAGGCCCAGATTCCATATCGTGGAGGAAAATGATAGACCACGACGCCCGCGCCGGCTATCTCGACCGTTTGCACGACATGTTTGAGAGAATGGGCGACCGGGATGCCGTGTGCTGGAACTGCATGCTTACATCTAATGCCCAGAACGGGCATCTGGAGTTGGCAAAAGAACTCTTCAAGATAATGCCACAAAGAACCACCGCGACGTGGAGCACGATTATAGGCTCCTCCGCGAGGTCAGGAAGGTGGATGATGCTTACACCTGGATTCTTTCATCCCAGCGCGAGATGCAGTGTCGTGGATTCTGGAAATCACAGTGCTTGCCCAAATGGGGCATATAAACGAAACTGAGGACTTCTTATCGAACTGGCCACGTCCTGCGCTAAAAATGGTCAGTTTGACCGTTGGAACGTTATGCTCGTAGCACATTCCCTTAAAGGGCTGGACTACTTGATCAATCCCATATTGGAGCATTGCTGCAAACTGGGCGGTTAATGGATCCCGGGGAGCTCATTGCCAACATGGCCTGAAGTTCATGCATCGTGTGCATCCGTTTACGTCTCGATCTCAAATGCTAGAAACGTGTCATCATATTGTATTTCACGAAAGTCTTTTCGCAAATGAACAGAGTTTTTTGCAATTTGTGTACATGTTAAAAGAGTAGAAGACTTTTGGACAAAAGCGAATGACCTTAGCGGGGAATCAGCCAGAGCACTCGAGCTTGCTGGAGACCATGTTGATCATGGTGAGATCAAAAGTTTTGCTACTGGCAGGTTTGATAGTTGCATCGAGCACTTTGGTTTCTCTAGTTGTTGTCTCCAACTGGCACTCTGTCACGTACTTTCTCCGGCCGTTATGGGACACTCCTCCCAAGCCTTTCAACATGATCACTCACTACTACGCCCAAAACCTGTCAATGCAAGAGCTCTGTGGCTTGCATGGATGGACTCTCAAGCAAACTCCCCGGCGCGTCTTCGATGCCGTGATCTTCAACAACGAGATCGATCTCCTGGAGATCAGGTGGAGAGAGCTGGATCCGTACGTGACCAAGTTCTTGCTGATCGAGTCCGACGGCTCTTTCACTGGCAATTCAAAGCCTCTGTTCTTCAGAGACGCTCGCAACAAGAGCGACCGATTCGCCTTCGCCCAGCACAAGCTCGGCTATTCCGCCGTCCCAAAAGGCCGGAGTCCCCACCCCTTCGACAACGAGTCGCGGCAGCGGGGCTTCATGAACCTCTTGATCCAACAATCCGGGATCCAACCGGGAGACCTCTTGATCATGTCCGACACTGACAGTGGCCACACCATAGATCTCCTCCGGAGCTGCGACGGACCCCCACCGATCCTTCACTTGCAGCTCCAAAACTTCCTCTACTCGTTCGACTTCCTCGTGGACACCGGGAGCTGGCGGGCATCCGTGCACGTCTACGGCTGGAACAAGCAGTATGGGCACCACCGATGGACAGACGCGATGCTGGCCACGTCGGGGTGGCACTGTAGCTTTTGCCTCCGCACGGCCCGGGACATCGCCTTCAAGATGATGTCCTACAGCCACGCCGACCGGGTCAGGCGGGCGGAGTTTCTGGAGGAGAGAAGGATCCAGGGGATTGTGTGCCGGGGTGGGGACCTGTATGGAATGCTGCCCGAGGAGTATTCATACAGGGAGCTCATCCACAAGATGGGCGATGTACCCCGGAGCTTCTCTGCTATCCATCTGCCGGCATTCCTGCTTAGGAATGCCCACCGTTTCAAGTTCTTGCTCCCAGGGAATTGTATCCGGTGAAGGGAAGCTCAAGAGCTCAAAATGCCAAATCAGTCCAAAGACTGTATTGACTTCTAATTGACTACCATTCTGTCTAAAACGTCTCTGGTGCCCTCTAGACCTCCTTTATTTCCTCCATGAAAGCTTTGGATCTTAGTAATAATACACGTTTTTGGAGGTACTGGCGTGGGTACTTGTGATAGCCTTGTGATTAGTGCTTCTTATTAAGGAACTTAGCATACCAGTGGGCTGATTTTTTGGGAATGCGCTTTAGATTGTTGTCATACTGAATGTGAATAATTCCCATGCGCACAGTAAATCCCGATATCCATTCCCAATTGTCAAGGAAACTCCACACGAAGTATGCTTGGACACGGCATCCATCCCTGCGATAATCACTCTGGAAACTGGATATCAAATTATCAATTAGTCTTACCGTATTGCTCCTACAAGGTTTGTTAAGTACGCTTTTAAATAGTCGATCCTGGTCTGATCATCCAGCTGCTGTGCTAAAGTATTTGAACTATTTGTAATATCACTGATCCCTGCGATGCAAATTATGCTCTTTTGAGAAGAATAAAAATCTTTGCTAGTACGTACCATTTTCAGTGATATATATAACAGGATTACGGTAATTATCCTTGATGTAGCTCATCAGCTTCCTGATCCCAAAAGGAACAACAAAGAAACTATTGACGTTCCTCCCTATCAGCTTGCCATTCTTTCTATCTGAAAAGGGATATCAATTGTTGATACTAACCGATCAATCATACTAATACTCACCTAGAAATGCATAGTCAACATCTTTGTAGTAAGCATTTTGGTAGATTGTTTGGGGCGAGCTGAGGAGGTCTCCTTTAACACGAATGTTATTTGGCTTGTCTTTTACGTAGACGCTGAAGTAGTGATTGATGCCAATGAAATCACACGAGCCCTTCAGCCATTTCTTCTGCTCGGCTGTGAACTTTGGCAGCCTGCTTCCTGCTTTGGAGGTCATTGCTGGTGGGTACTCTCCATACGTGACAGGATGCAGCATACTAAAAGGTAAAAATGTTAAAAGATAATACCTTGATATAGCTGTTGATTTTACCATCCAAGTTCGAATTCCATGGCTCTTTCTGCTGCAGCTTTGTCTTTCTTGGAGTTAGACACGGGTTCCAGCCATTTTGAATCGAGTGTGATACCAATTGTGCCTTTCTGGCTAGCCTGCAAATTCACTTGTGAACCTCTGTATTAGAATTCCTTATCAGACCTTGTAACGTTTGGTGTAGATCTCTGTTGCTTTTGCATGGGCGAGGAGCAAATGGTGAGTGACAACGTACGGCTCCGTCGACGAGTCACCGCCCGTACAGTTTCCAATCTCCGGGGAGCATCTTCCGGGAGCAAGCAGACCGACACCATAGCCATAGAAAGCGAAAGCGTGGGGCTCGTTGAGTGTGATCCAGTCCTTGACTCGGTCGCCAAATGCTTTGAAACATGCCTCCGCGTAAACTCCAAAGTCAATTCCACGTCGTTGCTGTACATGGCTCATAGAACTTACACAATTTGGGGGCTCAAGAATCCTCCATAAGATTTTTCCAGCGCGTAGGGAACGTCCCAGTGGAAGAGTGTCACATATGGTTTCAAGCCTACAGTCTCATGAATCCAATCAAAAGGTGCCTGCCTTCTAAAACACGAGTAACCTTTGGTAAGGAGTGCATCGATAACGTCGTTGTAGTGCGCGATTGCCTTTGGATTGACGTGCTGAGTGCCATCTATGAAGCAAGATTAATTCAAAGCTTACATGTATACCAGTTTTTGGCATCGGTGTGAACACAAATTACCAGGAAACATGCGAGACCAAGCAATGGAGAGCCTGTATGCATCTGCATTCAAGCTATGAAGCAAGGAAATGTCTTCCTGCAAGGTTGAACTGATTGCTCGCACTAGGCTTTGGAAATTGAATTTAAAGCAATCACACCTTGTAGCGATGGTACTGATCGCTGGCAACATCTGCTGTGCTTTTATCCACTATCTTGCCTGCATAAATCACACAGACTTGAGTGCTATGGCTATGGGATCATCGAGATTTTACCAGGGATATGCGCGTAAACATCCCAAATGCTGGGTTGTCTTCCATCTTCTCTAGCTGCACCTTCATACTGCCAGAGGAATACAATGCAATAGCTTTGAAATAATCGCACTCGCTGGGATAGTTTCTTTATCACCTGATAAGCAGAGGATGCAGCGCCAAACACAAATCCTTTTGGGAAGCTGTCCCTGCTCAGAACATCCTGCATGTTATGAGATGCATTGCTGCAAATGCAAAGAAGCAACAAGATCACAGATGGGAGCTGTAGACCCATCATGGATGAATTCCAAGCAACCAAGACGATGAAGATCGTATGTGGTTGTTTTTTAACCAAGAACATGTAATAATAAAATAACGCTGCACATGGCCTCAAAAATCATGGACAGTAGGTTACTTCTCCATCTCTTTCACTGTAAATGGAGGGACATCAGGATGACGTTATTACACGCTCACTTTCTCGCTGAAATGAGACATGGGGGATGAAAAACGTGGGATGAAGGGAATAGAAATTGGCATCGACAGTATAATACTAATGTAAAGCTTTTCAGCGTTGGCATATACGATTTGATGAGCAAAGGTATGTTGCAAGACTACTATCCAAAATGGTAAGTTATAAATTTTCTAATAGTATAAAAGTAAACTCATTCGTTGCAGTTAGAGGTTCTCTTCCTGAGCTTTGAATCCTAGCAGCTATTTCTCCAGAGAAGTGTTCACTTACACATTACACCGTGGCGCTGGCTGATAAATTAATGGTGGTTGGAAGGTCTTCCTCCATTGGATATGTTTGAAATCCAGTTCGGATTATAAAGGACTCTTAGAGACTTTTTGGCTATGGTAGAGTATGTGAATTGGAGTGTGGGCACTACATGATCTCAGTAGAATACATCCACACACTAACAGGAATCAGGCTTTTTTCTTCTTTTCATTTTTGCTTCTTTCGCAAGACGCATCAATAACACCCCTTGTAGTGTATAATGTCCACTTGTGGAGAAGGGGTCCTCAATCTTGGACTTTTTTTACTTTTATTCTCCAGCCTACACAATGTCACGTCCTCCAATCCAGTAGCAGACTGCACCCTTTCCGGGCTTCATCCAATGCTGGAAGTTTGCATTCCAGGTCGGCATGCCCATAGTCAACTAGGGCTGACTTACCGTCAACGTGGTCAACAGCGGTGAAGATCTGCGTGTTTGGGAGCCAGTGGCACGAGTAGAGCTGGAAGAGAAGCATAATTGAATGGCATGGGACGTTGAGCTCCTCGTCGCCGGCTGGCGTTTTCTTGCAGATCTTGTCGACTCGACCGCTGGTGGCGTTGAAGATGAAGGCGAGTCCTTGTGGGAGGATGGTCTGGATCACTCTCACGGAGCTCGTCCCCAGCTTGGAGACGATCAATTCGTGCATGGATTGATCGAGGAGACGCAGATGTGGTGCGGGGCGAGGTTGATGGACATGTTGGAGCTATTGAGCTCGTTTGCGCGTAGGACTTCTCACTACTGGGCCAACAAGATCAAGGACGGGAGCTTTGAATCTAGCGACGCCGCTAGCTTCTGCTCGAAGGACGACGCTTCGATAGCCGACCTCACCTACGAGCTCTCGACATCTCCGCGTAAACAGAAAACAAAGAAAACTTGAAGGAATATCAAAGAGAAACAACGAATTTTGCCCGTCCAAGGACGAAGAATGTGCACATGGAGCATTTGGTATATATGCGAGCATTTTCCTTCCAATGGTTGGATCTAGCTAAGTTGATAGTTTAAAAAACTTAAGCACACAGTGTAATACTTGTTACCAACGATACCTTTGTATCTGTTCGAGCTGACTTCATGCGCAGTAAGACGCGGAGGATGATAAATCGGCAAGAACCTGAGGACAAGCTTTGAATGTAAGATAAATTAGGCAAAGAAAATCCTATGTCTATCTATCTATCTATCTATCTATATTCTGTTTGTGGTGCCCAACAAGAAGCATGAGACTGTGCAAACAAGTATCTATAACAAGTTGTTGTAATTGTAACAGGGAGGGAGTGCTTTTAAAGAGCTGACAGTACCGTTTCACACGATCAGCGTAACGACAACACAGAGCTTGGGGGCCTCTGCAGAACCTCCATTACGTTAGCATTGGGAGTTCTGGAGAGATGAGAGTTTGGCCTAAGAGTTGAGAGCTTCGCCTATGTTTCAGTCCCTAAGGGACATTGTTTGTGAATATATGCCCCCATTAAGCTGTTCCACACCTTCTGAGAATACTAATTATCTTGTGGGATCTTAGAATACATACATTATATGAATACTTATTTCTTTTTCTTTCAAAAAGAAAAGAAGAAAAAGTATTAAGGCTGGATATCCATTTATTCTCTAACCCAAGCGATGTCCAGCCCTCCAATCCAGTGACAAACCGCGCCCTTGCCCGGCTGCATGCCCAACTCCTTGAACGCTGGAAAGTTTGCATTCCAGGTGCTGGTATCGGCATGGCACGCCGCCACATAGTCAACGAGGGCTGACTTCCCGTCAATGTGGTCAATGGTATCAAACCCGACAGTGAAGATCTGCGTGTTCGGGAGCGAGTGGCACGAGTAGAGCTGGAAGGGAAACATGGTGGAATGGCACGAGACGTTGGGCTCCTCGTCGCCGGTTTCGGGCCTTGTTTTGCTGATCTTGTCGACTCGAGCGATGGTGGCGTTGAAGGTGGACGCGAGTCCTTGCGGGAGGATGGTCTGGAGCATTCTCACGGAGCCCGTCCCCAGCTTGGAGACGATCAATTCGTGCATGGATATGATCGAGGAGACGCAGGTGTGGTCGGGGGCGGAGCACGTTGTCGCGGCTTTTTGGAGGTTGATTGCCATGTTGGAGCCGTCTCGGATTCCAAACATCTTCTTGAGCTCGGGCAGGCTTTGCGTGTTGATCTTGAGCTGCTGAGACACCGAGTATGGGAGGAATGGCCTCGCCGGAGCGGGGGCGTAGCTGGGGTTGGCCATGGCGAGCGTGGTGCCTTCGACGAGGAGAGTGGCGGGGAAGAAGCGCCCCTTGCTGGAGATGTCGAGAACGTATGGAGGCTCGTATAAGTCGAAGGAGGAGTCGGCTATCGGGACGTCGTCCTTGCACAAGAGTCGCAGATCCGAGCAGAAGCTAGCGGCATCGGTAGATTCAAAGCTCCCGTCTTTGATCTTGTTGGCCCAGTAGTGAGAACTCATCACAGTGGCCTGCATCAATAGAAAAGAAAAGAAAACTTCGTTATTTCTCTTTGATATCCCTTCAGGATTTAACCCGTCCAAGGACGAAGAATGTGCACAGGGACAGAAGAAGCAGCTGTAAGACTCCCATCGCTTCCTTACAATGTCTTGATTACAGACAAATATATACGAACCGAGGAGCACTTGGATATGCGAAGCATTTCACTGCTTCCAAAGCTGTGAAGTGGCGTCTAGCTCGTGGGTGGAATTCACCAAGTTGATAGTTAAAAGACAAAAGACTTATGTACACATAGTGTTTGTTATCAACCGTCTGTCGGAGCATTTTTTCATGCGAAGTAAGATGTGGAGGATGATAAATCGGCAAGAACCTGAGGACAAGCTTTGAGTGTGAGATAAATTAAGACGCAGCAAAAAATTCCAAGTACCTCTAGTTGCTCTTCTGAAAAATAGTTCTTCTGATACGCCCAGGTGTCAGCGTGAGTCCGTCGAAACTCCGCAATTGTCTTTCTGACAGTGTTTGATATAGGCGATGGCTCATGCGTGAATTTGGCCAGAGCAAAAATTATATCCGGAAGCCACCTGTAATGTAGAAAATTCGAAACACGGACTTTTAAAATAAGTCAGTTTTTCAAGTACCGGGGAATGTCGTATGGTGCTGATAGTACGCATGCTCTCAAGCCCATCACTATTCCGTGCTTGACAATCTTGTCATCGCTTGCTTTGCCCCTGGAAGAGGACGCATGAACATAAGAGAACATTTGGCATAGCTCCACAGTACCTGTTGCTTTTCAACTTCATATTCTTTTGAGAGGAACTCAAAATGCCCTCACGGAAGGCCACAGGAAGATCACTAACGGGCCCCTTCAACATGCCTGAAAGGGTGGTCGATGCCGTTTCCCTCACCTTTATCAGAACGTAAGTTAAAAAAAACAGATCCGGCAGGTCATGCATACCTCTAGTTGTGAATCCGACAAAAGGTTCTGCACGCAGTTCCACAACCGAGTGACCTCTTCTTTTTCCAGAGTAAAGGCATGTCTAGAGAAGAAAAATTGTGAGGACAAGTGATACAAGAAAGGAGTTCAACCTGTATGCAAAGGACTGAGAGAACGTTAATGCTGACAGGCGTGTGCGCCAATTGCTATCGTTTGCAGCCGAGGCGATAGCTCCAACGGCTTTGGTTCTGTATTCGTTGCCAAATGGCTGCCATTTATACAGGAACACCGCGAGTTTTGCAAGGAAAGACATGTCTTTGTGCGACGTTTCCTGTGATAAGAAACATTAGAACATGAAGTTAAAGCTCAAATCACTTACTTGTAAAGCCAAGACAGATGGCAAAGCTCCAACGAGTACAGGCATAAGGTAAGAAGCTCGTCCCGATGCCATGGCCGCTATCAAAAATTGGAAAACCTGGAAAAGAAGAACACACCGACTTTTTATCCGAGAATGACCGGCACAAGAAGCACCTACCGTTTCCATGTATTTTACAGCTTCCTGGACGTCGGTGTTGCTGCTCAAATCACCTGCGGCTTCTGTATTCTCTAATGACTTCTGTATCTTCGCAGTGGCTGTTACCGTGCCATTCAACAAGCTTGTTTTCCAATCTGGCACATCTTTTTCATTCAGCAACGGCGAGCTGCGAGCGTCTTGGAGATTTGTGCACAGCACGCACATAATCTTTCCAACGTTTTGCCGTACCTGGTAAGAAAAAACCGACCGCTAGGAAAGATAGAAGAAAGAAGATATCATATTACCTGCGACGAAGGATTCGCCATGTACTCCATAACCTCTACGAGAAGGTTCAGTTGCACGTTAATTTCCTGCTCCGTTGCTGCTTCCGGTCTCAGCTCCATCACTACGGAAAGTAGATACTGCAGGCGCTTTGAAACAAGGTTCGATGACGCAGTGGATGGCAACTGTCTCGTCATCAGACCTTCAAACATAGCTTGACGCAAAAGAGGTGCCCTCAGACCTTTCCTCCCTTTGCCAGTGGACGAAAAGCGTACACAAGCAGCCCATTCTGCAAGAGATTCCGGATTTGCCTGCATGAGGGCCTTGTGAAGCAGATCCGAGAGCCATATTCCCCATGCTTCCACAACAGCTCTGACGTCTGAATGTAGAAGCCCGGCCAGTATCTCAGCCGCCATGCACTGCATAGTCTTCTCTTCGCTAGCATTTACTGCATCTTCCAAGGGACCACGAAGAGCTTCCAGAGCACCAGAACCGCACTCCTGAACCAGTCGTTTAAAAAGCTTGGCAAGTTTTGGAGAAAATGCTTCGCCTTTGCTGATGACTACCCAGTTTCGAGTGGTTGGCCATTGACGGACAAAAGCTGGCATCATGCCAATGACGCTCAAATCTGCGGCCTGGACTCTAGCACCACGAGAGCGCCCCTGGCCTTCACTGTAGTGATGGTCTAGAGATAAGTTCTTCACCATCCGAGAGGCAAATGATGGCTGTTGGAAAACTGGAGTTAAAGCGTCTTCCAGAGAAAAGTTGGTAGCATTTCTGTCTATCTTGTAGTGGCCCGAACGCAATAAGAGCAAGAGAGCAATAACGGACAAAGGCCTGAGTGATGGTAAATCACTTCCAAGAGCATTGATGAACTCTCCTGTAATATAAAGAATGAGTATCGCTCGTTGCTTTGTAGCTACTACTTACCAGCTAAAAACTTCCTGGTTTCCAGGATTTCTGCCGCATGATCGGTGTCATCCAACGGCAGCACCAAGCATAGCATCCCCACATGAGCCATAAGCTTGTAGCTGTAGAAATAAGATGATATTAACTCGATGATAGAGTATATTATAACTTCCTGAAATTACCGCCAATGAACGGCTCCAATGTCCCCATCTGACGAATCCTTAACGAGTGACAAAAGCTGGCTATAATTTGGTAAGGCGTCATTAGCCTCCGTATCAAGCCCGCTCAATGGAACTCCACCGAAACGAACACTAAAAGCAATAGCAAGCTGAAAAGGGGTCTCAGTATGATATGGCAGATGGATCGAAGCAGCTCTACCTCACTAATAGCTGTCTGAGCTTTGACGGAACTGTGACGAGAACTGGAAATGTCAAATAACGTCAGAAACAAATACTGAAAGTAATTGGAACGTCACCTTCCAAGGACAGCTTGTATGAACATCGCCAAGGATTTCCAGTCCTAAACATCAAATAGTTAAATATACCAGATCTTTAATCACAAACCTGTGCAATATGTCTCAATACTGGTCTAGAAGCAAGAATGGAGCAAGAACCCAGCGCAGAGTGCTCCATGGCATCGGCATCTTGCAAACTTGAGGCCAAGGTTGGCATGCAGGACTTCACAAGCGGTGGATACCGTTTTAGCATCTTCTTCAGCGACGCGCCCGCAAAACTAAACAAATCACACAAGTAAATATGGTCGTACGAAAGTGTAGTTCTCTTACTCGCGAACTTCATCGTAGCTGTGAAGAGAGAGCTTCAAGAGTTCGGTTGCAACCTTTACCACGTAAGGACACACCTCATTGCGCTCAAAGTGACGATAGCCAGCCTGTGATGCACGCCAAGTATTGTGAAGATAGACCATCTCAGTCATCATCCAGTATGGCCTGAACAGAAAAAAGAAATTAGTGATGGCAAATAGTTGCCAATGGAGACCAACCTGCGCTTTCCCGCAGAATGAATTCCAGTGATAAAATTGACTCTCGGCTCAACCAGGTTTTTAGAGTCAAGCTTCCAAGTATGCTTCCCGTGAGACCATTCGTTATATTCTGGTGAGCCTGTACAAAATTATACATGAGTAAATAAGAAAAAAAAAACAGGAAAAACTACAGTACCGTAGTTTCCAACGAGATCTAATGATTGAACTAGCAAAATAAGCAGTGCTGTGTCGTCAGCTTTCGCTTTCAGCAAGTACCTAAAGCAGATTCGTGCATAAGTATACAATTAGACGAAAGTTTGAATCTTACTCGCAAGCCTTGATTAAGGTGTCGGCAGCTTCTTCCCTTAACTTCGAGTTGCCAACAGATGCTCCAGTTTTTCCAGCAATGCGGAGTGAACCCTTGGAGCTTTCATTTGTAAAATCGGGCAAGGCCGATCTGGCACCCTTTAGACTCCCATTAATTTGCAACAATAGTATCCGTAGCTTTTCCTTGTTTGGAACTGTCAACATAAAATCAGTAAAACTTATAAAAAAACGTAAAACAACGTACCGGAGTTCATTTCACAGAGACTTCGAAGATCCAATAATGCATTTCGAAGGTGCAATTGGATTACTTCTTCAGCAAAAGCTACTTCTTCTTCACTAGGAAGATGCCACATAGGTGATACAAGTGATAAAGAGGGTTCTTTAGTGCTTATCCATGACTCTATGCCATCGTGACCAGGATATCCCGAGCAAGATCTGCAAAAGAAAACGAGGCGTCCAATTCAATTTGTCGATCTAAGCCAAGTCACCTGTATTGTTGAAGTGGATAATAGAGCAGCAAGCTTTCCACTACAGAACTAAGAAATCGTTCTCCAGCCTCATTGACCTGTATACACCATCAATAAATGTGCAAACTCTAAAAACTTTTACCTTAGCGGATGTAAGTTTAAAGCAAGAAGCAATAATGCGCTTCAGAACGTCCTGGCATTGAAGAAGAGCAGGTCCGGCATTCATCATGCCAAAACACAGCAGCGTTAGCTGAGCTGAAACGGAAGTTTCCGTCGCTGGAGAAAGATTCACCTGCAAAAAATACAACAGTCACAATAAAATTAGCGAGATAGTGAAATCCATTAAGTTTCTTACTTTTGTATCCGCCTGTGTTGAGCTGCTTGAAGCAGAGCCCGTGGCTTCAACGTCGGTTAAAGTGTTCAACACGTTTTTCATGATAGGTAAAAGAACCTGTGATACTGTTTCCACAGGATTTGCGTACACAAGTGCTGAGCAAAGCAAGCCCATTTCCGTGACTGCACCTGGTAAAATGTTGCTGTATGCGAATTTCGCAACTTTTTTCATAGCCTGAGGAATCCGAAAAGAAAGTTATAAAAAAATAAATAAATAAACAACCAAAAGAAAAGAGGCACCTGTTGAAACAAAGGCCTTGTCAGCCTTCCAAAGAGAAGCTCAATCAACGTTGAGTATAAAGAATGTTCTTGCATGAGAAATGTACTGGAAGATTTATGTGAACCTTCACCCAGATTTATATCCCCGCTAATATGAAATTAAAATACGTAAGACAAATTGTTCTCCTTTTCAACGAGACTACTTACGTGTGCGTGCCAGACTCAACATGTCGCAAAAGGACGAACAGGCGGGACAAAAACTCGTCCAGCCATTGAGACCAATCCATAGACAAAACAGAAGACCCACCGTCTGTGATCTCTCCAATACTTCCAACCTGAGAGCACAACCACATTAGCAGATTTTCACCTATCTTTCAGAGGTACTCACATTCGCCACAACGGATGCGTAGAACTGCACGGTTGCAAGTGTTTTAGGGGGATCGTTAGCATCAATGCCCAATAAAGTGGTGAACATTGCCTCAACCAGCGTGGTTTTGCAGTCCACAAAAGATAAGTTAAAAGAAAAGTCCAGTCGATTGGATGTGTCTGCTTCCATCTGAAGGTCAGTATCAATATTCTCCGAAAGTAATACTGCACGAGATGCAAGGGCCAATGTGGTCAATGCAGACTCAAGCTGATGCGTAGCAGTGACCTGAAACATTCCATATTAGCGTTTGTCGGAGCAAAATGAGCAACTCACAGTGATCATAGCCGCTTCAAAACGAGACACAATGAAAGGCAGGATAACCGAAGGGGCGACGAAGGCAAGTCCTGAAGCCACATTAGAAGACGTTACAGCCAATCGTCCACTCTTGCTGTATTGTCCTCTTTCTATCAGCCTTACAATTGTCTTGACGAACGCCTCTCTTTCGTCGGGCCCCAGGAAGTTCTTTTGACAATTGTGCCTACAAAAGTAAAAATATATGAAAACCATTAGAAAACTACAGTACGAAGCTTACTGTTGCTCGTAAGAGAGTCGTTTAATAAAGAAATAAGATAGATGGCGCAGAAATTGTTCAAGTGATGATGTCCATGAACCTCCATTGGAAGGATGATAGTATCTGTGCAAACATTTTTGTTACTTAGCAGTCGTAAAGCTTAACTTCACTCAACTGTTCGAGAAGATCCACAAGTTGCTCAAAGAGATCTTGTGCACTACCCTCAGGCTGAATCAAGTAAACCTGTAAAGTAAACGAGTATAGGCGTAAGCAGCTGTGCGGTAACAAAGTCTCTTACAATTGCTTTAGCCACATTCTTTGGTGCCGGCTTCCAGTTGCCATTAAACGCAAGCCTCAAATCGTAAGGAACTTCTCTTTCAATCGGAGGTGTCGCATCTGATTTTGCAACAGGAACCTGAGGATATTGTAGAACAGGCACACATAAGTTTATCAGAGAATTTGATCCCACCTCAAACATGTTCAAGAAGTGTCCAAATAGACTCGGGAGGAACGGAGCCCAGTCAATCGGTGAGGCATAGGCTCTATGTTTGATGAAGCGCCCGAGCAAACAAGCCCATTGACGGTCCCAGTACGGACAATCGGTGATTCCATCCCAAAGTCTTAAGCATTCGCCAAACCAATCACTGCCACAAGTAAGGTGATCAGCACGTAACTAGGACATACCAAGCTATATTACCATGTAAATACGTTGGTGTCCGGTTCAACAGGCTTTGTTGGAAGAAAAAGTGAGAGAAAACCCACAGCTTCCAGAGATGAATTGTGAATGCCAGTGTCCAAGTACGGTCTGATGAAATGTTGCCTCTAAATACTCGAAACAACACAATTGAGACACACCTGAATTCTGCCCATATTTCTGACGCAGATCCCGGACGGAAGAAGCGGCGAGAGTTGGATATAAGAAGAACTAGTGATTCCAGATGAATTTGCCGTAGAGCTATCCCTTCAAAGAAAAACCTCCTACAACAATGAACGGAAGGGATGATGAAAAAGAGGACTTCTGATTCGGGATGAAAAAGAATGGAACGAACAAACCTTTTGAAGTGAATCAATAGCATCATCTCGTAGAATTTCCTCCAGTCGAGCTCCAAAGTTATATCCTTGTGGTACTTGCTAAGAAGTTTAGACAAGCACGAGGCCCATCGAACCTGTGACAAAATTATATAAGACTATCGAGGCGATCTCCACGTAATTTTCTTCATACCTGGACAAATAAATTGTCTGAAGAATGGAAGAAGACGTCGAATCCAAGCCTCGCTACAGCGTCTAGAGCAGGCTTTGCCGGCCTGATTTTCGCCCTGACCAAGCTGAGGCCACATTTTCCAAAATTTTTAGAGAAGGAAAGAGGACAAAGAAAATCCTACTTGTTGATGAGAGAAATCCACTTGAGCGTCGCGAATTTGCTCTTGGGATCGTTCGGCTTCCATGCCCGCTGGAGCTTATCGGCAATCTCCCCCATCACCTCCTCCTCGCCGTGGATGGCCTCCACGACGGGCGGCGGCAGCCACGCATTGTAGAGATGCATCGCCGCTCGCGCTACCTGGATGAATCTAGAATCCTACGAGAAATTCAGCTCTAGAGATAGATCATAGCACCGCCTCTGGTGCCTTGAGCGCCAAGAGATCGCCGCGCCATCGCAGCTTCTTCCCAAAAAACCCTACAATAAAACTACGTGTTGAAAATATTTGCTAGGCTTCCAACAATCCAAACCTTTTGACAAAATCATCATCATGAACCTGGATTCGAACCAGGGTTCTCCACTAGGTAGAATCTGGCGACCAACGTGATGATGGTTCTTCGATCCAATTTTAACTTCTGCCTCACTCCTGGGGTTCTTCTGATATCATTGTGAAGGCAATGCCACTCAAATGTGGGTAACATCCATTGTGGTGCTTGTATAGAAAATGAAAGATTTGTTCAGGTGGGTAATCACTAAAATAGTTGGATCTTGAATTATTAAATCAAGTAAATCTGAAATAATTTTAGAATAATACTAGCATTTTTTAAAAAAAGTCTGTTGAAAGAAAATTATTTTAAAAAAAATTAAACAGAAATTTTTAATTTTTAATATCACAAATTATCTAAGTTATTTCTTCATTATAATTTTGCCTAATATTTGTAATTTTAATATTAAGCACTGTGAGGGCCAAGTGTACGGTTACGATGCCGTATACTAATATTAACGTAGTGGATTTTGGTAGCTGTCGGATTGGTTTCAATCTGGACCACTCGCTCCTGTATATAAGCTAGGGTTTTTGGGCTAATTAATATGCACATTTCTGTATTCCCTTTCCATATTCCATGCACTCACATTGGTGGAGATGAGGGGCACCTTTGATTGTCCCTGGGGAGTGCTTGGATTTGGGATTTCGATTTAGATCTAGCTTTTGCATTGTCTAGATCTAGCTTTTTCCATTTCCTTTCTTTTGTTCTTTCCTTTCAGGATTTTGGTTTCGATCTAGCTTTTTGCATTGTCTAGATCTACCATTTCTTTCCAGCTTTTTTGTCATTTCTCTTCTTTTGCTCTTTCTTTTTTCGTTCATCTTCATGGCCGATTCGCAATCTCCTCCTTTGACTCTAGAGCAGCAATTGGTTCAATTGCTTGATGCTATGCGCTTGCAATTGAACAACCAAACTCAATTGATGGCGGCGTTCACGGCACGTGGTACAACTCCTCCTGCTCTTGGTGCCAATCCTCGCGTTCGGGCAGAGTTCTTTCGCGGGAATCCTGGGGATGATGTGTACCATTGGTTCGATCACTTTACAGTGATTGCCACATATCATTCTTGGGATGATGCTCGACGGTTGCGTGAGTTTCCCACGTGTCTCCAAGGGACGGCATTGCAGTGGTACAATGGTTTGAGCGCAGCTACTCGTGGGGATTGGAGTGTTCTCCCGGACGTCTTCAAACGCGCCTTCGGACATGCCGATGATTGTGATGATGCTTTCCAACAATTGCATCGTCTTCGCCAAGGGCCATCAGAGTCGGTGATGCAATTTGGCGTTCGTTTCCGAAGTCTTTTGCTTCGTGCGGAGCAAAATATGTCGGAGCGGATCAAGCTAGGAATGTTGTGGCCAGCACTTCGTCAAAATCTTGTCGGACTTGTGCATGCACTTGCTCCTGCCACCCTTGACGATGCTCTTCGCTTGGCACAACGTTATGAGACGTCGCCTCTTCCACTTCTCGCTGCACGTCCTTCCGCTCCACTTCCTATGGGTGATGGTCCTGTTCCAATGGAGGTTGATGCTGCTGCTGCTTGAGTCCAAGGACAAGCGCGAGGACGTGGTCGTGGCCGTGATGTTCGCTGCTGGGCGTGTGATGAAGTTGGTCATACTTATCGGCGTTGCCGTCGTTTTCCGGATTGGCGACCTCCATTTCCTGGGTGGAGACCTTGGCATCAGCAACGTCCCCTGGGTGCTGCTGCAGTGGAAGGTCTGGACACCGAGATGCATCAGGGAAACGAGGAGTCGCGCGAGTAACGGAGGGACCTTGCGCGAATAAATCAGTGACCCCTCCATCTTTCTTTCGGGAGTATCATCAAGGGGTTCACTCGGCACCAGTTCATCCAGTGTTTACTTTCCAAGCTCGTTTTTATAACAAGAAGTCTCCTATTATTCTCTCCGTGTTGGTTGATACAGGTTCGAGTTTATCTTCTATTGCTCGACCTGTTGCCACACGTTGTCGTCTACACTTGCGTCGTGTGGCAGAACCAGTTTTCATTCTTTATGGCAACGGCCGTACACATGCATGTGCATGGGATGAGGTGGACCTGGTTGTGCGTGTGGGCGATCTTGAGCTTGAGTTGCAGTCATTGCGGGTGGTGCCGAGTCAAACTTTTGACCTCATTCTTGGTATGGATTGGTTACAGCGCAATCATGCCAAGTGTGACTTTGAGGCTTCTCCCCCTTATCTCATACTTCCTTATGTTTCATCTATTCCTCTCACTTCCATACCTCTTCGTCCCTCTACTTCTACCTCTGCTTCCATTACTTTTGTTTCCCCACTCTTTCCTTCTGTGTTTCCATCTTGTTCTGCTTTTCCCTTTTCCGATCCCTCCGAAGATCTTTGTGTTGCAGCAGTTGACCGGCTCATGAAAGAGTATTCTGATCTCTTTGAATTTGACCTATCGTCTGGGGCCAAGATTGCCACACGTCATCCAATTCCCACTGGGGATGCTCGTCCAATCAAGGTTCCTGTTCGTCGTCGGTCACCTAAGGAGATCAAAATTTTACGAGCAAACGTCAAGGAAATGCTGGAAAAGGGTGTTATTCGGAAGTCGCGGAGTCCTTGGGCATGTGAACCTCATCTTGTGACGAAGCCTGATGGGAGTATTCGTTTTTGCATCGACTATCGTCCGTTAAACGAAGTGACGATTCCAGATGTGTATCCTCTTCCTCACACTGCTGATCTCTTGGATCGTCTGGGGCGAAGTCGTTGGTTCACCAAGCTAGATCTTGCTTTTGGGTATTGGCAAGTACCAATGGCCGAAGAAGATATTCCTAAGACTGCTTTTCGTACACCATTTGGTTTGTACGAGTTCTTGGTGATGCCGTTTGGTTTGAACAATGCTCCAGCAACCATTTGGTTTGTACGAGTTCTTGGTGATGCCGTTTGGTTTGAACAATGCTCCAGCAACTTTCCAGCGGATGATGGACGAGGTTCTTTGCGATATGCCGAAGGTGACTACTGACTTCATTGATGATGTCTTGATCCACTCGGAGGGGACGTGGGAGGAGCACGTTCGTGATGTTTGTAAAGTGTTGGATCGGCTACGCGACGTTGGTTTAAAGCTGAAGCGGTCGAAGTGTGTGTTTGGGTCCAAGGACACAACTTATCTTGGGTACCGTATTTCTCGTGAGGGTTTGCAAGTTGATCATGTCAAACTTGTGGCTGTTCTAAAGTTCCCTACTCCAAAGTGTGTGAATGATGTGCAGCGCTTTTTGGGTAAGGTGCAGTATCTTGGTCGTTTTGTGGATCATCTTTCCGATCGCACTACACCATTGCGAGCATTGCTGAAGTCATCAACGTCATCTTTCATCTGGTCTCCGGATTGTGAGTGGGCGTTCGTGGATTTCAAAGAGCTATTGACAACTCCTCCGGTTTTGGCATATCCTGACTACACTCGACCTTTTATTTTGCGCGTGGATGCTTCTGACATTAGTCTTGGAAGTGTGTTGATGCAAGAGAGCTCGAGTGTGCCTGGTTAGTGCCATCCCATTGCATACATAAGCCGTACATTACAACCAGCGGAGATGAACTACTCCACGACGGAGAAGGAGTGTTTAGTAGCAGTCTGGGGTTTCGAGAAACTTCATGCATATCTACATGGTTCTCGGATGTTACTTGAAGGTGACCATGCTGCTGTTACTTCATTATTGAAGCGGAAGAACCTGGTTGGTCGTACGGCTCGATGGGTTTTGAAGCTTCAGATATATGATTTCGATGTTGTTCATCGCCCAAGGAGTTCTATGGCTGATGCTGATGCCCTTTCTCGAGCTCCTCTTCCTTCTTCACTCACTTCTCATCATTCTGACGAACCTGTTGTTCCAGCATCTGTGGATTTTCTAGATGAGGATTCTGTGCCGTCGGCGGTTGCTATCCTTGACGTTCAATGTCCACAGGGTGCAGAGCAAGATCTGCCTTCTCTTGAGGAGGTTCGCGAGGCTCAAAAGATTGAGCCGTGGATTCGAAGGCTTCGAGATGGGTTTGAGAATCCTGCATCACTTGCTGATGACTTGCCTTTCCGGCATTTACATTCTCAATATCGCCTTGAAGATGGCCTTCTTTATTTTGTGGGGACGGATCCTGATGATCATTTACGATTGGTGGTACCTTCGGTGTTTATTCCGCGGTTTTTCTATGCCTACCATGATTCTCCTGTTCTAGGTGGGCATATGGGACACCGTCGTGTCACCGAGAAGCTGCGCAGGTCTTTCTATTGGCTGGAGATGCGACGTGATATTATCCGGTATGTGCGTAGCTGCGTTTGGTGCCAAGCTTGTAATACTCCCCCTTGTGCTGCAGAAGGACGGTTGGAGTCAATTGCAGTTTCCCGTCCGTTTGAGTTAGTGGCGTTTGATCTTATAGGACCTTTTCCACGATCAACTGCTGGCAATGAGTATGTTATTATTGCTTCTGACTACTTGACTCGTTGGGTGGAAGTTGGTGCTCTTGCTAGTGCCTCTGCAACTGCTGTTGGATACTTCCTCCTCAATCGAGTGGTGTTCCAGCATTCTTGTCCAGAGCGGATTCTTTCGGATAATGGTCCTGCATTTATGGCTGAGGTATTTCATGTTTTGACATCTCGGTTGGGGATACGCCACACTTTTACGAGTGCTTATCATCCACAATCAGACGGTCTGGTGGAACGGCTCGTTCGGACATTCAAAGGGATGATTTCGAAGTATGTGAACTTTCAGCATTCGGATTGGGATGGTTATTTGCCGTCTCTTCGGTATGCCTATGTCACAAGGGTGCAGAGTTCTGTTGGTGCTTCACTATATAAACTTCTATGATCCAATATTACCAACAGAGTTGGGTTTACCTTCGCAATTGCCACGAGCTCCTGATGCTAGGTCATGGGATCAGTATTTGACAAGCATTCTTCCACTTGTCCGAGCAGAGTCTGCCGAACACTTAGGCCACGTACAAGTGGGACAACAACGGCGCTA